CCCATTTCCGACCCCCCCCCATCCTATTTCCAGCTGGGACAGCGTTAATTATCTGTTCTGCGGGGAAGGTCGTTAACGCGTATTGGAGGGGTCGTTGCTGAGCGATGTTGATACTTTTCCCGGGAGGGACCAGGGGCTGGGTGCAGGAATGGGGTGACCCCCCCACCTCTGTGGGTGGGGTCCACCCCCTGAGCCCCCCAAATTTGGGGGATCCCCTCCCTCCTGCGCCCCATCACCCTGTCCCCAAGTCCCTCTCTGGGTTGGGGTCACCCTGAGACCCCCAAATTTGGGGGATTCCTTCCCCCCACGTGTCCCATCACCCCATCCCTGGTCTCCTTTGTGGGTTGGGGTCACCCCTGAACCCCCCCCCGACAAGTTTGGGGGCCTCCAACCCCTCCCCTCCATCACTGCTGGGGAGGGCGACAATTCGCTGGGTGGGGAGTCACCATCACCATCATCACCACCATCATCATCCCCATCACCACCATCATCACCATCATCATCACCATCATCACCATCATCCCCACCATCCCCACCATCACCATCACCATCACCATCATCACCATCATCACAACCATCATCACCATCACCATCACCACCCCCCACCACCATTATCACTATTATTGATATTTTCCCGTATTTCCCACCTTTTCCCCTCAATTTAGCCCCTTTATCCCACCTCACAAGGTGGGTTTTTTCCCCTTTTCCCCTCCTTTTCCCCCAAACCCTTCCCGGGGGGAACTGAGACAATGGGGCTCCCCCACGACCTCCCCCTCCTCCACCCTGTCCCCCCCGGGTCCCCGCGGCCGCTCACGTCGCGCAGGTTGAAGGTGATCTCCAGGCTGGACCAGAAGTGGTCGGAGAACTCGGGGTACATGTCCAGCACCTCCAGCAGGTCCTCGCGGTGGATCTTGTGGAGGTCGCAGTAGGTCAGGGCCCTCACGTCGGCGTTGGACTTCCCCGGCCGCGCGTAGAGGTTCAGCGGCTCCCCAAAAATGTCGTTCTTCCCTGTTTTGGGGGCGCAACACGGGAGGGTTGGGGTCCACCAGCCCAGGGGAGGTTGGTGGGGAGACCCCCCCCTCGGTGCCGTGTCCTCACCCAGGATGGCCACCACCACGTCCCCGCGCAGGATCTCGATGGAGCCGCGGGAGATGAAGTAGAGGGCGGTGAGGACGTCCCCGGCGTGGACCAGGGTGTCCCCGGGGGGGGCGTGGGTGGTCTTGAACTTCATGGCCAGGGCCCTCAGGCAGCCCTTGGTGGCCCCCTTGAAGGGCTTGCAGTTCTGCAGGAGGCTGCGGTTGAGGTGCAGGCAGATGTCGGCCTGCAGGCACTCGGGGAACCCCTTCAGCACCTGCGGGACAACGGGGGGTCAAGGGGGGACCCGACATCTGGG